CCAGGAAACACATCGTGGGTACTGGAGCTCAATTGTCTATACTGTTAAATTATTAGAACGGTTCCTGGCATGGTTTTGAGTTAGGCCAATCTTTCCCCAGACAGTTCCTAAGCACAGTTAAGCATGGACCAAAGACCATTCCCAATAAGCAGTTTGCATGTGGTCACCTTTTTTGGGAGTCTGAGAATTTAATAATATGGACGTAGGCTACTCTGTGCCTGTTGGTCTCAGTGCCAAAGGAACATTTCCCGCCCCATTTAATTTCCTAGCACAGACATAGCCGCTGTGTTACAGTCTGATCCCTGCTTTGTTCCTGTAGCTGTGCAACTGAGTGTTGATCTGTACTTAAAGTCTGTGGCAAACCAAAATGTAGTCTTTTGTGTCTATGTTACTCAACCCCATCCCTAAACCTCTGTTTGTCTTTGTCTTTTTTGAACTGTATGCTATTCAGATAGTAACTATATTTGGAAAGGGCTGTGTATTGTGCAGATCCATTTAAATTAAGCAGTTATCCAAAAGTTAAAATCTGCTCTGTAAAGTAAATGGAAATTAAATGAGACTGACACATTGCCTGCATCTTGTGTTCACATTGCTAGTGAGCAGATACTTACCACTAATTTAATCTTTCATCAAAAACAGGTACCATGAAGTGCAGGACTGAAAATTCTGGGGCTAGATGGTCCCAGATAGCAACATCTGGCAGGTATAATAAGGCAGAAAACTTTATTTCAAAATATAGTTCTCTTTCTTGTTTTGACTTTAAATGCAGCTTTCCCCTTGCTTCTAACTGAGCACATTTCCTTCTTTAGCAGGTCAGACACAGCCTCAGTAGACTTTTACAGATGTTCTTTTCCTTTCTAATGCCTCTCAGATACACATTTAATTTATTTTCATTCTGGAGTGCTGCCTAAATCTATTCACATTTGAATTGTTAGAAGCAGTGAGCTGCAGTTACTGATGTCATTCTTACTTGAGATCATCCCATCTTACCTGAGTAGTAGAAACATAAAAAGTACACTGGAAAAGGAGCACAGGTGTTCCTTTAGACATGTACTCCTTCCAGTGTATGAATTATTCTCAATCTTTTCGTATGTAGCTTTATCTATGAAACACAAATATCATGGGGTATCCTCAGGACAGGCAGAGTAGGCTGAGAAGCTGAAGGGGGAAAAGGAGCTAATTTGGCCCAGGAGCATTTGGAAGAAGGGACAGGGTGTGAAATATGAGGCAGTTAGAGGGTACAAGGGAGCAGATGGGGAATGTGAGGGAGGGCAGAGCCTATGGGACAGCAAGCAGTGTCCACCCAGGCATTTGCACATGAGCAGCGGGGGTTAGGCATGTTCAGTGACTCTGTCAGGGTGCTACTGGCATGTGGCAGAAAGGCAGAGGAAGGGGAGAGGAGCCAGGACATCCGGGAACAGCTGGGAGGAACCTGGCTGGTGTAAGAGAGATGCTAAAGAGGCCAGGCAGGGTGAGGAGAAGAGAGAAGGAGGAAAAGGAAATGTAGTGTGAGAGGACTAAAATGTAACATGGTCACTAAAGCCTACAATCTCCAAAGTATTTAGGAGTTTTATGCTGAATTTAGGATGTCCATCAGCATGTGAGCACAAACCTCTTTTCCTGCAGAGCAATTGCCATGTGCCACATTACCTGTGTGTCAGATTTTCAGGACAGGCAGTATTTAAGTGAAATGTACTGATGCAAGTGCTTGCTTTTTTTCATCCTAAAAGTGTGACTTTATCAAGCAGCTCTTTATCAAGTGCCCTATCTCTCAGGGAGAGCCTGTCTCGCTGGTGGTGTGGCTTACCTAAGCAAGGCAAAGCATTTTTTCATTCTAAGTCAGAACTGTGCTAAAGAGGAAGCGATGATGTAGTTGTTCAGCCTCACCATATCCTGTGTTCAGAATAATTTTCATTTCTACTTATCTGCAAATGTTGATGGAATGTCCACAAATATTTTCTTGGTTTCTATGGTAAGAGAAAGAGAGTGTGAAACTCTGTGTCAAAACCACTGCATCATCTGCATCATCCTGTGCTTTTCAGGAGAAGCCCCTAACCACCAGAGGAGTCATCTGTAGCATTACTTGGGTGCAAACTGACATTTAGTACATCTTGATCCCTTTCAGGCTAACATTTTGAAGCACAGACTTGCATATTACAAACCATAAAGGTTACTTGGTCACTTTTATAATTACACAGGAACACAGAAAGTATATCAAAACAGCTCAGCACAGATTACTTCCTCCCTGACTATAAAGCAATCAGGCATTTGCTGGAATTTAACTGTAAGATTTTGGAAATCATTTGTTTGGAGGGTTTAAGGTTCCAAATCACTCAGAAGTAAAATCTCCCAGTCCCCCGTGTACACACGCATGAAGCATAGCAGGGTGCAAATGCTTGGGGAACTGTGCCAGTAAGTGGTCACGTGGGAGAAGCAGCTAACGTGCTGCACGCTTCTGCAGCCTTCCAAAAACAGCACTGTTCCCTCTGAACAAGCACCCGGGGACCGGCCACGAACTGCCATGCTCCTCTCAGGAAAGCAGCAGCCATCCTGTGTCACATTTCCCTGGAAAAAGGACTTCAGTTTGGGGCATATATTGTCAGAAGTATTCAAACTGTCTCACAACAATGTGTCCCCCAGTCCTTTGCCTATGAGTGTGCAGAGCTTTAATGTGGCAGGGCAGCACCCTTTCACTCTGTGGGAGAAGAGCTATGTGGATCTCAAACCAGGAATTGTGGGGCTTGGTGGTGTTCCCACAGAACAGAGGTCACACAGTGCTCCTGACACCACGCCCAGCCATTGACAGACAATAATGGACTTAAATTGTTATAACTAACTTTTCAAAGCAATGTTTCTTCAATAAGCTTTTCCACAAATGTCCTGAGAGAATAAAAGTGCAGATCAGTTTGAGAAGTGTATCTGCATCAGGAAAAAATATGTACGTGTTTTAGGAAGAATTCTGTCTGACTCAGATAGGGCAGCTCCAGTAAAACTTTTCTGGTTTTTATAGAGGGAAGTATTTTGGAAAAGCATCACTAGTATGGTACCAAATCAGGAACAAGACAAACGGAGTTAAGTAATGCCCAGCTTCCATACAGGAATCCTTTTCCATGGACAGGTATCTGGGAGTCTAGCTTGCCAGTGCAGTACTTTGCACTGTGTTATTGAACTGTTTCAAAGACAAATTTCATGAATAGAGATCAAAGTGTTTAAGAGGACTGTTAGCAAATATGACCACTTGTGCAAATATCCATGAACCTCCCTTCAATAGCCATACAGTAGTTCCAAAGGCTGTCAGGGCATGTAATGATTGTAATAAATGTATTTGCTTTTGTTTCACCTGGCTTTGACCAGCAAATTCGGCTGATTACTTCCATTGTTATTTTTGCTTTGAAAACAATTATATAATTTTTAAAAACCTACTCTTCTTACACATTTCTTTTTACTAGTCATGGTATTCAGAACTCGCTATCCTAGTTAACATAATTTTGAAAGGTATTTTCATTCTTATCTTTGCACTTGTTTCTTTTCAGTGTTTTTGCTTTGTGTCTTGCTCCTCCTGAATGCTGCATCTCCCAACTTTGCATTTGTTGGAGAAGCAGACCAATAATTGTTGAGACCCTCCCTGCCCCCAGATTAAGAGTCAGGGGTTTAAATTATAGCACCTACTAAGAAAATACTGCTATTTAGCTGATGATCATGTGCTGGCATGTTGGATTATAATTGCATTCATGAGTGGGATACTCCCATGGCTCTGAGACTATATTCTAGAAACAAAATAGCTCATGCAGGACTCTGAAGAAGTTCCTTGTGTTCTTCTGTAAATATACTGAAGACACAGTCAGCCTCATCTGTATTTTGTCTTCTTGTGAGAAACAAAAGGATAAATATAAACTGTCCCATCCCTGTTGTGGGTCCAATGTGTAGGACTCATCAAAGTACGTTCATGAAGCAGTGCCAGTAAAATTCCCACTGGGTCTCTACAACATGTTGTGACATGACCACCACGACAAGAACAGCCTAAAAGCAGACGCTTTACATGGC